TTTTGTCACTTTTGGAACATCTTGTTTCACATTTTTTGTCCGTTCAAAATCCGCCTGTACAGTCAAAAACTCATAAGGACGCGCGACTTTGCTCAGGGCACCCTTGCGTCCTTGCTCTTCCTTGCTCTTGCGTCCTTGGGGTTCTCGTCCTCCGCCGCCCCAAACATCCCAACTTCCGCTTCCAAGGGTCTTGCGTCCTTACCGCGTGTCCTCATCAGGATTTTTGACTGTAGGATTTTTGACAGCAGGGGGCCAGAAGCGCTGCATTCGGTGGGAGAGACGCGTGCGAACACCGCCGCTGGGGCCTTCGGAGGAGCTCCATATGAGGCCACGAAGCGTTGGGCTTCTCGGAGGTATCTGGGGGGCATCTTGGGGGCCTCCTGGGGCCTCCTGGGCGCCTATAGGGGGACATGCCCGACCTTTGGGGGCATCTTGGGGGCCGCTTGCAGGGGGACAGTGCCCGACCTGACCCTGCCGTTGCTCCCCGGAGGAGCCTCCCGCGGCGCCGCCCTCGGCTCCGCCCGCCGCGCCGAAGCGCGGCGGGAGCGGCGCTGGCGCCGCGCACGGCCGCCCGGCGGCGGAGGACGGCAGTCGAGCGGGGGATCGACTGCTCCTCGCCTCCTCCTCCTCCTCGTCGTCGTCCTCCTCCTCCTCCTCCTCCTCCTCCTCCTCCTCCTCCTCCTCCTCCTCCTCCTCCTCCTCCTCCTCCTCCTCCTCCTCCTCCTCCTCCTCCTCCTCCTCCTCCTCCTCCTCCTCCTCCTCCTCCTCCTCCTCTCCTCCCTCCTCCCTCCTCCCTCCTCCCTCCTCCCTCCTCCTCCTCCTCCTCCTCCTCCTCCTCCTCCTCCTCCTCCTCCTCCCTCCTCCTCCTCCCTCCTCCCCCTCCTCCTTCTCCTCCTCCTCCTCCTCCTCCTCCTCCTCGTCCTGGCTCACCTATAGCCCCACCGTACAATGTTCTAAGAACCTTTCGTGGTCGCCACGAAATGTTCTTAGAACACTTCTGGCGGTGATGGTCTTGTTTTGTCACATCGGGGTTACGTTCTAAGAACATTGTTTTGGTTTTTAGAACATGTTGGGGTTCTAAGAACATTTCGTTGTAGGACTATAGGAATGCCGGGACGGTCGGTCCCTGCTCAAAGCAGTCGAGTGGGGGATCGACTACATGATTGATTTACGATCTACTCCAAAACGGTTCTCTTCGTCGAACCCATGAGAGGCACACGTAGAGTAGCTCGTAGATCTACGGAGCATCCCACGCATGTGCCGTAGACTTGGCGGGAAAGGGGCCACTTGCTCAAAAAGCTTGCAGGCGGTTGCTGCCCGATGCTCTGTGACATTTCCATGTGTGCATGTGCACATTTCCTGCCGATGCGCCGTCAGGTCGCTTGTGTTCCCGCGCCAGCTTCTCTGGAGCACGGCCGCCCGGAAGCGGAGGACCTCAGGGGCCACCCTTCGAGTGTGGGATCGGCTACACAATGGATTTACGAGTTACCCCAAACTTGTTTTTCTTGTCGAACCCATGAGGACATACGTAGAGTAGTCCGCAGATCTACGGAGCATTCTGCGTGTGTTTCGTAGATTTGCCGGGAAGTCAATTCTGTGGGGTGAGTCGATTCTGCAGTCGATCCCTTATTAGAATCAGGGGCAACGTTAGGGGTTAGGGGGCGCCGACGTGAGCATTCTGCTGTGACAGAGTTTTTGTCGCCCGGAGGGTTGTTTCAGTTCTCCCCGAGGGGAAAAACATAATAAGGGGCAACATTAATTAGGGGGGGTCGGCTCCGATCCAAGACACAGCCGCGCGGACCTCCAAAAGCTTCTGTTTGTGCCGTCTTATGCTCCTCCAGAGTTCCTTCCCTTCCCCGCGCTGGTGTCCCCGCGGCGGCTTCTTTGGAGCATGGCCCGCCTGGAGGCGGAGGACATCAGAGGCAACGCTTCGAGTAGGGTATCGACTTCTGAATCGATTCACGATTTACCCCAAAAACAAAAACAAAAAGAGAGCATCATGACTCCCAGGGGTGTCTGGGCAGGATCCGGACGGATGCCGGGGAGAACCAGGGACTCCCCAGAACATTATCCCAGGCAGCATTTTTGACTGCCCGGAGCCAACAGAAAACCATTCCCAGGCCACATTTTGAATGCCCGGAGCCAACTGTAGGCCACTTCGTGTTCTTCGTGCTCCCAGAACACCACTCCCAGGCCACATTTTGAATGCCCGGAGCCAACTGTAGGCCACTCCGTGTTCTTCTTCGTGTTCCCAGAACACAATTCCCAGGCCACATTTTGAATGCCCGGAGCCAACTGTAGGCCACTTCGTGTTCTTCGTCTTCCCAGAACACCATTCCCAGGCCACATTTTGAATGCCCGGAGCCAACTGTAGGCCACTTCGTGTTCTTCGTGTTCCCAGAACACCATTCCTGTACCATATTTTGTTTGCCCGGAGCCAACCGTGGGCCACTTCGTGATCTTCGTGCTCCCAGAACACCAGTCCTGTGCCATATTTTGAATGCCCGAGCTGAGGCAGGCCGAGGCCGAGGCAGGCTGAGGCCGAGGCAGGCTGAGGCTGAGGCTGAGGCACGCCGAGGCAGGCTGAGGCTGAGGCTGAGGCAGGCTGAGGCTGAGGCAGGCGGAGGCTGAGGCTGACGCAAGCCGAGGCTGAGGCAGGTTGATTCTGAGGCTGAGGCAGGCTGAGGCTGAGGCTGAGACTGAGGCTGAGGCAGGCTGAGGCTGAGGCCGAGGCTGATGCAGGCTGGGGCTGAGAGGCTGACGCTGAGGCTGAGGCAGGCTGAGGCTGAGGCTGAGGCCGAGGCAGGCTGAGGCTGAGGCTGAGGCAAGCCGAGGCAGGCTGAGGCTGAGGCTGAAGCTGAGGCAGGAGGCTGAGGCTGTGGCTGAGGCTGAGGCAAGCTGCGGCTGAGGCAGGCTGAGGCTGAGGCTGATGCAGGCTGAGGCTGAGGCAGGCTGAGGCTGAGGCCGAGGGCTGAGGCTGAGGCGCAGGCTGAGGCTGAGGCTGAGGCCGAGGCTGAGGCTGAGGCTGAGGCTGAGGCTGAGGCAGGCTGAGGCTGAGGCTGCAGGCTGAGGCTGAGGCTGAGGCAGGCTGAGGCTGAGGCAGGCTGAGGCTGCAGGCTCAGGCCGAGACAGGCTGAGACTGAGGCTGAGGCTGAGGATGAGACGAGGCAGGCCAAAACTGAGACAAGGTGAGCTGAAGGGGGGGGGGGGGAAGAGGGGGAGGGGAGGCTGAGGCAGGCTGAGGCCGAGGCAGGCTGAGGCCCAGGCAGGCTGAGGCTGAGGCTGAGGCAAGCCGAGGCTGAGGCTGAGGCTGAGGCTGAGGCTGAGGCTGAGGCTGAGGCTGAGGCTGAGGCTGAGGCTGAGGCTGAGGCTGAGGCAGGCTGAGGCTGAGGCTGACGCAGGCTGAGGCGAGGCAGGCTGAGGCTGAGGCTGAGGCAGGCTGAGGCTGAGGCTGAGGCAGGCTGAGGCTGAGGCTGAGGCAAGCCGAGGCAGGCTGGGGCTGAGAGGCTGACGCTGAGGCTGAGGCAGGCTGAGGCTGAGGCTGAGGCCGAGGCAGGCTGAGGCTGAAACTGAGGCAGGCTGAGACATCCGTAGGAATCCATAGGAATCCCCAGGAATCCTTAGGAATCCGTTGGCATCCTTAGGAATCCGTAGACAGAGTTAAGCATCCTCAGGAATCCTTGGGAATCCTTAGGATTCCTCAGGAATCCTTAGGAATCCCCAAGAATCCCTAGGAATCAGGATTCCTAAGGATTCCCAAGGTTTCCTAAGGATTCCTATGGATGCCTAAGGATGCCTTAGGAATCCCAAGGAATCCTTAGGATTCCATTGGATCCTAAGGCCGTTGCCACTGCGACTGTCATTGCGAATGCGACTGCGACTGCGAGAACAGCAGAATTCTACAACTGGATTATCACCTGAATCTTAAGGGGAATGCTTCCAGAGATGCTTATACACATCGCTGTTAGGTTGCTTTGCCGGGATCATTTCTCGTCGACCCTATGGGAAAACTAGGTCATAGCCAGCTCCTGCTCTTCCCCGCGCTGGCCTCTGGAGGCCCCCGGAGGCCTCCTCCGGCTCCAGAGGCGAGGCAGAGCATAGCAAGGCATGGCACGCCTCGGAGAAGCACACAACAGGCGCCCCCCTGGGCCTCCCCGCGGGCGAGCGCGTGGGCCCCGCGCGCGATTGGGGGGGGGGATTCCTCTGAGACTTCACACTCAGTGGAGGAGCATGTACCCATACTCGAAGAACAAAACAACGGCCGAAACATACATCGTCGGAGCTCTTCGCGGATTTCGTGCGTGGATCTGCGCTGGGCCCCCCTGGCGGCGCCTACGGCGCGGCCCCTGGCGCGCTCCGCGCGCCAGGGTGGGGGGGGGCAGCGTGGATCCGAGAAATCCGCGCGGACCTCCAAAAGTTGATGTTTATGGTTGTTTTTGTTCTTCCACGTGTGGCTGCCCTCGCCTCGTCCTCCGAGCTTGCGGCCTCCTGGGAGGCCCTCGTCGCCACCGCCGGAGTCGCCTCGAACCCCTGGTCGGAACGCACCCCCGGAGCGGCCCGTGGAGGAGCGGTAATTCTCGGTACCCGTTGGTTTCCCCACGCACGGGGCGGTTTCGCCCGACGTCGGGCCCCCACACCATCCCAGATCGGTCAGGCTCGAGAGAATGCCGCAGGGAGTTGGCTCGGCATCGCTTGATCATTTGGCGAAAAAGCCACGCACGAAACCAAGAAAACACAGGGAATGGAAGTCCGAGCGATGGCCAGTTGGGGTCTGTGGGGCTCAGGTCGTGATGGTCCGCGGTGCTGGCTGTGTTTCTCCCAGCACGTCGGCTCTGAGGGCCCCCTCGCCCAGTGCTCGCCGACAGGGTCCCGACAGCCCCGGCCCGCCCAGGAGCTCGCGGAGGTGCAATCGGGGGCCCATCGCCGATCCGTCGGCGAAGTTCTGCCGATGCTGGGCCGACGTTTTTCCGCCCCTGGGCTGGTCACGCTGCCCCCATCAGGACAGCCGCGCCAGGCGAAGAGAGCTGAGCCAGGCCATCGCGGAGCTCCGGGCCGCCCAACTGACGACCACGACGACCACGACGACGACGACGATGACGACGACGACCACGGACGACGACGACGACGACTTTGACGACGACGACGACGACGGCGACGACGCATATCGCGCCGCGTCGTCAGCGCGTCGGCGACGCGATTCGATCCGGAGCCAGCTTTTTCGCCCCAGCGTCGCCGACGCACAATCGGCGCATCGTTGTGCAGCCCTGTCGCGAGGACAGATCGCTCCAGAGCGTGCCCGAGTGCTCTCAGAGCGCTCCGAAACGTTCTGGAACGACAGCGGCACCCGAGACGTCCGTACCAGACCCGCCAGCTCAGAGATTCCCGATATCTCTTCCTCCCATCCTCCCGGTTTTAGGATGTTCCAACCTTTTTTAGAACGAATCAAACCTGGACGGTTTTCTCTTGTCGGGGCCCTGGGAGGCGACACCCGCTCGGCATTTCGTCAGCGATACTTCTCGGGCTGCCCGAAAAACTCTTCCTGGGACGTGGTCCTCAAGTGCGATGGGAACAACATAATCCCAAGTTCGGGTGTTGGTAGAAGTGGTCCTGCCTGGCCCCAGGTGTAAGTTGGGCTTGTCACTCTACAGGAGGGATATCGTAAAAAATAGTCTGGGGACGGGTGTTGGATATTTTGTTTTTGTTTCGAGTGTTTTAAATTTTGTTGTCCAAGATCCGCTAGGGGGACATGCCCGACCTGACCCTAGGTGTCTCCTGCTCTTCGCGCCCTCTTGGGAGGCCCTGGGGCTCTCTGGGCCTCGCGCTTGCAGAGCACCCCTGTCAAGCAGGGGTGCCCTGCGGGCCTCTCCAGGGGGGCCTGCGCACAGAGCTCCCCGGGGACGCGCTCAGGGGCAGGGGCGCCCTTGTCTGAAGTCGAGCCTGTCCCTCTACAGGAGGAATCTTCAGAAATAGTCAAAACATAGTATGTCTGACATCTGCGAATATTCGAATCTTTTTCTAGTATTTTCGAGTATGAGTTCAACGAGCTTTCGAGTATGTTCTAGCATGCTCGAACAGGTTCTGTCCAACGAGTTTTCGAGTATGTTTGACCATCTTCGAATATTTTGTCTGCTCATTTTGATTCTTCGTCCAGATTCCCCCTGCAGGATAGGGCGACGAGATCTATACATATCCACTGCTCCTGGCCAGGCCCATCCTGGGCCCAGGAGCTGTGTATATGCCTCCCTGGCCAGGCCAGGAGGGCGTATACACCGCTCCTGGGCCCAGGATGGGCCTGGCCAGGAGCAGTGGATATGCATAGATCTCGTCGCCCTACAGGAGGACATGCCCGACCTAACCCCTGGCCGCGGACGGCCCGTGCGCCCCGTGCCGCGGTGGCCTCTGCCGAGGCGCCGCCGACCGCCGACCCAGGAGGAGCGCTGCCGTCGGGCCGAGAGGCATGAGATCGAGGGCGGCTCGGGGAGGGGGCCCGGGTGCTTTGTCTCGGCATCGCTCGGGCGTGTGCATCTTTCCTTCGGCCAGGACCATCGAGGAGTCGAGGAGCATCCTGGAACCTTCGGCGAACAAGCCACGCACGTGACCGAGCAAAAACACAGGGAATGGACGTCCGAGCGATGGCGAGCTGTGGGCCGCGGAAACGGCAGGGCCGTTCTTTCACCGTTTCCCCCAAAACATGTCCCTTGAAAATGGAAGCGGCAACAACAACGGCGACCGGCAACGGCAAAAAAGCGGCTCCAGGATTGGAACCGGAGCCGGAACCGGTCAAAAACGGCGACGAAATCGGTAAAAAAACGGCGTCGGAACCGGCAAAAAAAGGCAAAACGGAACCGGTAAAAAAACGGCCCTGTCGTTTCCAGGGCCCACTAAGCCCTGGTGTTCTTCGTGCCTGTTGGGTGCTCTTGAGCATCTTGGGGAGGGTACCCCTGGCTTTTCTGGGTGTTTTGGCCGGCGGAGGGTCTCACGTTCTCGAGGGCCGTTCTCCCGGCCCAGGTCCGACTGTTGGGTGCATGGCAGAATGGCTCGGTCCCTGGAGCCGAAAACAATCTGTGCACCGTGCCGCGATGGAGCGGGGCCTGGATGGAGGCAGTCCAGACATGGTGCGGTGTATGGGCGCTGTTCTCGTACTATACATCGGCGATACGGTGTGCTCCTTGGCCCCCATGATATGGGGGGTCAGGGAGGAGGGAGGGCGAGGGGGGGGGAAGGGGGAGAAAGAAGGAGCAGGACGGAGGAGCGAGGAGGGGGGATCGAAGCGGCCAGGAAGGAGGGCTGGAGGGAGGGAGAGAAAGGAGGGAGCAGGAAGCAAGGACCAAGGGAGACGAGCGGGAGGAGGAAGCAGGGGCCGGCCCCCGATGTGCGGCCGGAGCAGACATGTGCCGTCTGCTCCGGCCGCGCACTGCGCGACCTCCAGGAGCTGGCGTCCAAGCGGCAGCTGTCGGGTGCCCTGGACGCCTTCAGGCCCGCGGGGCCTCGGCGCGGGGAGGGAGGGGGAGCTGCCTCGGGCCTGGGCGAGGGATGGGTCACGAAGTCTGCTGCCTGCAGCCGCTTCCAGTCCCGCCGCTGGGCGCACTTCCCCGCTGCAGCGGCGCCTCTGGCGCCGGGAGGCGCCGAGAGAGGCAGCTGCCGGAGCTGATGCCCTGCCCCCCCGGTTTGCTGTCCTCCGGACTCCACCCCTCAGGGCCCCATCTTTGAACCACCGCGCAAGCTGTGCAGCGAGCGTGGGGTGTGGTAGTGGATCGCCGCGAGGGGTCAGGACCGTCCTGCGCAGGGCGGGGGCCCGGGTGCGGACGGTGCTTGAAAGTGGGGGGAGGGAAGGAGGATAAGGGGCTCTGCGCAGCAGGAGTATGCGGAGTATGCGGAGGAGGAGGAGGAGGAGGAGGAGGAGGAGGAGGAGGAGGAGGAAGAGTATGCGGAGTATGAGTATGAGGAGTATGTGGAGGAGGAGGAGGAGGAGGAGGAGCAGGAGGAGGAGGAGGAGGGGAAGGGGGAGGGGAAGGGGAAGGGGGAGGAGGGTGGTCGCCTTAGCGGCCAGCCTCCCTCCCCTTACTTCTCGTCTTTCAGAAGTGCTTGCTCGTTCCTTGTATGGGTCCTCTCTTGCATCTGCTGCCGCATGGACCAGGATGCGGCGCCTCCTCCTCCCCTCCCCTCAGCCCTGTGACGTGCCGCTGGCGTTGGCAGTCGGGGGAGCGAGGAAGTTGATAGGGGAATCCTCGACGCTTCGCGTATCCCCACCAGCTTTCGTTCCGCCACCCGGACGCCGCTTTCGCTCCTAGACCGTCGCCTGGGAGCTGCCGACCAAAACAAAGTATCCCCACCAGCTGCCCGTGGGCCCGGACACCCTGTTCGCCGCCTGCGCTTTTCGCTTGCGGCCGCGACCAAAAAAGTATCCCCACCAGCCCATCCGGAAACGATCAGCAGGGGAGTTGGTGAATCAGGGGCGGCAGGACGCATGCAGTCGCGCAGCCGTCTTCGAGAAAACAAGGATCACAAATAGCGTCCCGCATTGAAGTTTAAGATGGGAATCGGTGCAAGCGTGAGAAGTGTTTCGATGACTCGTAATGGTTGTTGCACTGATTTGTGTCTTAAACTCGCGTGCGTTCCGAAACTTGGAGGCATCTTGGGGCTCTCTTGGGATTCTCTTGGGCCCCTCTTGGGGCCTCCTGGGGCTCTTTCATAGGGCTCTCCTGAGGTTATCTTAGGGCCTTCTTGTGACTTCTTGGGGCTCTTTTGGGGCGTCTTGGGGCCCTCTTGGGGCTCTTTGGGGGGGTCTGGGGGCTTGCTTGGGAATCTTTTGGGATGCCTGAGGGGCCTCTCGGGGCCGTCTTGGTCCTTATGGCTAAAGAAGGGGGGGGGCCCTCAATTCTTGTCCCCCCCTCGGAGGCTCAAAAATGCCGTCTTGGGACCCTCTTGGCCCGCTCTTGGAGCGCTCTTGGGCGCTCTTGGGGCCGTCTTGGGGCTCTCTTGGGCTCCTCTTGGGGCTGTCTTGGGCCATATTGGGGCCATCTTGAGGCCTCAAGAGCCCTTCGGAGGCGAAACAGCGAGAAGGCAACCACCATTGATTTTCCTTAGGTTTTTGAAGGATTTTGGCTTCTTGGGGGGGTCCTTGGAGGCCTCGGAGGGCACTTGAAACCGTCTTGGGGCCGTCTTGAGGCCTCTTGGACGCGTGTCGGAGGCTATCTCGACCCGTCTACCGCTATCTTGGGCCATCTTGGAGGCCATCTTGCGCTCTCGGAGGCCCTCTTGGAGCCATCTTGGGCCATCTTGGACGCTGCTATGGGTCCGTCCCCCCCCGTCCAAACGCAGGGAGTGGGGGGCGGTAAACCTCCCGAACAGGGAAAGGCAGGAGGTTGGAAAGGGAAACACCCTAGACCACCTGCGCCCAGAGGGCTGGTGGGATTAACAATGACATCAGTGTAGCAACTTGGAGGTTCTCGCGGCATTCTCGGATCGGCCTTGGACCCCCCCCTCCACGGCGCGCGGAGCGGGCTGGGGGCGGCGCCGGCGGCGCCGCCAGGGGGCCCCCCGCGCCGCTCCGAGGAGTCCGCGCGGGCCTCCGTTTTGTTGTGTTTATGCCATTGTGTGTTACCCCGGTGGAGGCGAAGGTAGGGGCCGCTTCGGGAGGTTCGGCAGGATCCGACAGGGGCGCATTCCCCCGCGCGCACGCGGGGCGCCACCCGCGGTGGCCCTGGCTCCGTGCCCTCGTCGGCCTCCCTGCGCCTTTTCGCGCGGCCCGCTCCCGCCAGCTCCCCGCCGCTCGCCCGGTGGCCCCGGGCCGTGTCGAAGCGGCGGCGGCCCCGGGGCGGGTGTGCAGATGGTGACGTCCCGCCATCACCACCCACCAAACCACCCCAACCCAACCCGAAGGCTCAGATTTACCCTCGATTTCTAGTGGGGGGGGGTCCGGGACCATCGAAAAAACACACATGGAGCCCATACCCCCCCCAACCCGAAATTCGGGTCTTCGGGTTGGGTTGGGGTGGTCTGGTAGGTAGTCACGCCAGTGGCCCGAATCAGCCCACGTCGAGCAAGCCTTGTGTCGGGCGTGTCCCCCTACAGGGGGATTTTCGGCGGAAAAAAAAAGTGCCATAAAAATGCTCCAAAAAGGCAGCCAAAAATAGTGAAAAAATGCCCCCCAGACTATTTTTGAAGCATGTTTTGATTGTGTGTTCGGGTATTTTTTATTTTTTCGTCGAAAATCCCCCTGTAGGGGGACAGGCCCGACATAAAGCAAGCCGCCGTGTCGGGTCGCTGCGGTCGCTCGCGCCCGCGGACGTCCTGCGTGCGCCGTGCCGCGCCGGCGCCCCTCCCGCGGGGTGCGTCGACCTGCGGCACGGGAGCGGCACGCGGTGTATCGGCTGCTCGGCCCCCCGGGGCCGCACAGCGGTGCACAGTGCCGCGTCGGAGCGGGGCCCGAATGCAGTCCAGACATGGTCAGGTGCGCAGGCGCCGTTCCCGTAGGGCAGGTTCAGATCCGACTCTCGGCACGCGCGGAATGGGTACGGAACGAATGGGTACGATGTGCAACAGCAGCTCCTGTTCATTTTGAGCAGGGGTCGCTGCCCACGCCGCCGCGGCCTGTGTCCGCTCGAGACAGGAGGCCGCCTGCCCAGCAGCGGCCGCTGTTGGTTTGGGACAACACTTGCTGTTGGGCATTGTGCCCATTCTTTCCGTACCCACTTCGGGCGCCCAAACATGCAGTCCTAACATGGTCAGGTGCAGGGGCGCCGTTCCCGTACGGCAGGTTCAGATCTTACGACGCTGCGACGACTCCGCTGCGGGCCTGCGAGGTTGCCCGCCGCCAGAGGCCCCCGATCGGCCGGTGCGGAGCGATCTGGCGATGGCAAGTAGCCGCCGGTCGTTGGAGGTTGAAGGTCAGCGCGGTGTCGAAAGCCAGCCCCGAGGACGAACCGCGCGGCGCCTGAGGCCAGAGCCATGGAAGCGTGGTGGGGCGCGTGGCTGGGTGGGGGGGATGCATATGCATTTGGGGTGGTGGTGGTGGGGCAGCGAGGTCTGCCGAGAAGGGACCGTCTGGGGCCCCTGAAGGGGCCCTCGAGGGCCCAGAAGGGGGCCTCTGGCGCCCGAAGAGGGCACCTGTCCTCCCTCACCACGCCATGTCCCTGAGGAGGAAGGAGAACTCACAGACACAACTCATCGTCGACCCCAGGGAAAAAAGATGGGGAAGTATGGGAAAGGTGGGGGGGGGGAAGCCATGTGGGGACTCCTGGGAGTAGTGCCCCTTTCTTTGTGTGTCCCTGGGCCCCTCGCCCTGTCGCCTCTCCCGCAGGCAGATGGAGGCGGAGGGCCTCGCGCCGGACACCAAGGCGCCGGGGGCGCCCCGCTCCCCCGCGCTGCCACCTGCTCGCTCTTCCAGCCCTCCTCGGGCACCTCCGTCCTCGCTCCGCCTCGCCCCTCGCCCCTCCCTCCCTCTCCGCCCCCCCAGCCCCATTCTGCCTCCTCGTCCCCCCTTGCCTTCCTCCCCCCTTCTCCTCCCCAACCTCCGTCTTCCTATAATCCACCTTCTCCTCTTCATCTCTCTCCTCCTTCGTCGCCCATCCCCCCTCCCTCCTCCTGGCTTTTACAACGGATCTGGGCGGCGCTGAGCCTGTTTCGAATGAGAAGTGTGTAGCGATGAGAACGACGGGAATGACGGAGCAACATCGAGGCCGTACAATGGCAGAGGAGGGTGATGTTTCCGATGAGGAGTGGGCTGGCAGGCTGCATGGTGATTGTTGAGCTGATGATGACAAGGAGGAGGAGGAGGAGGAGGAGGAGGAGGAGGAGGAGGAGGAGAGGAGGAGGAGGAGGAGGAGGAGGAGAGGAGGAGGAGGAGGAGGAGGAGGAGGAGGAGGAGGAGGAGGAGGATGAGTGGGCTCAATACGTAGGATGGACGAGGACTGAGGAGGGCGAGGACTGCAGAGAGCATGGAGGAGGGATGATGAGTGAAGTGGGAGGTCGGATGATGGTGAGAAAACAGGGGGACAGGATGCGGAGAATGAGGATCCTGCTGATGCTGCTCATGGTGATGATGCTGATGATAGCTGATGCTGATGCTGATGATGCTGATGATGCTGATGATGGTGATGATGTTG